AGTGAAACTTTAAACTAAATTTTTATTGCTGGTTCAGGGCTCTTCATCATCAAACCAGAATCGTGCACATAATAAAAGAGCCAAAAGAATTACTGACATATCAAATACAATAGTTGTAAGTATATGAGGCAATTCAAATATTGCAACAACTTCAATTGTATCTCAGTTTAACAAGAACATGTTTAATAATCAAGTGATTTCTAAAAAACATGCCTCCTATTTCATTTTTGTTGTGGTCTCTGTAATCCATAAAAACCAGTTACCTTAATGACCCCAGTAAGTAAAAGAAAAGGTTATAAGAGTGATTCTTTAAATCAAGGTCAAGGTTATCAAAGGCACAACTGCAGCAGAGCTGTTCTCATGTGGACTCCTCTACAGAAGATCTAGGAATCTAAATAGAAGTAGACAATCCAATCCCACAAGAAGGTTACCTTTATAGGAATAGAGTTTCTAACATCTCACAGAAAGATTAAAAACAGATGCTCTGGGTGTTCATGTACTTAAAGACAAGACAGCTTTGAGTTAAGAAAGGTGACTTAAATTTTGTCTACATAGGAAACATTCTCCAAAATGCCAGCAGCTCCTTGGAATATCAGTCACCAAACCATGTTCATCATTCAGCTGTATTTTCAGCTTATTGCTTAAGTGTCTTCCTAACTATAACCACCAGTAATATTGTCCCTAGGGTAATGTACTTGGGGACAAAGAGGTCACAGTGAATATTGCAAATGGTACATATTTCTAAGACATACGGGCTTTCATCATTTGTGTACCTTAGTGGCTGTATCTCTACTAACTGATGATCTAATAACTTTACCAGTAAATTCCCATCTAATCCTGCAGTGATTATGGTTTTCCCAGTGGCAAAGCTACAGAGGAAAGTAGAGGCCACCTGCTACTTCAAAAGCAAACCAAACAAAGACATAATAAAGATATTAGTATCACCTATTTAATTATTGGCTCTAATATTGTTGTAACAACTGCTGCACAGTTATCTGCTTGTCTTAAAATACACAAGAAGAGAATACTGCTTATCTAGGCTGCATACCAAGATCTCTGTATCAGTGTTTCCTATCAGTTATTTTGATAATCTGTTATCAGTTCAGACAATCACTGAAATGGTGGCAAAAATTAAAAATTTCTAAAAGATACCTTACTCAAGAAAATTAAGAAATAAATTATTCCTATCTGTAGAAGAGGAACATTTCTAAAATATTTCAGATTTAGAAATATTTGTAGTAATAATACTTTTCTTAATTTAATGTTGAAAAGTACTAATAACCTACATTTACAATGTTCTTCCCTGATTATCTGACTCATTAGTTTATTGAACTGGACAGTGGTCTGAGGGGAAGTTTTGTACCTAGTAATCTAGAAATGGGTAAGATCTGTGTTCCTCACACTATTACGATCACCTCCACAAAGAAGGACAATTTTTAGATGTTTTGTTCCTTTAATAATCCTGCCTCTGAAATTTCACATGCTGCTACTACTTATGTTCAGATGTTATTAATTTTGTGCTTTAAATCTAAAATGACTATGATATTTTCAAATATAATCATGCAAATTTCTATAGACTTAGGATACATCTCATATATATTCTATTTTTATTGGGCATTTTCTTTGTTTTATGTTTAAAAACATAAAAGACAAGATGAATGTTCATAAATTATTTTCCTTTTTGGAATATATTCATTGTTCATAGTACTGAGTATAATAAATGTAGTTTCATATGAGATTATAATATACTTTAACCATATTGTTCTTCCATACATTTTATTTTCTCCCCACTGCTCTTAGTTCCATCCATTTCTCTAGACAGGTTCACTTCTATGTTCATTTTCTCAAACAAGATCTTGTGGAGGTACACAATGTCTAGGTTCCCCAATGAGAGAAAATACATTCAGTTTTGGCTGATTATAATAAAATAATCTCTAGTTCATTCATTTTCTATAAACAATATAGTGTTTATTTTTTAAGACTAAATAAAATTTCATATATACATTTTCTTCATGTATTTTTCTGTTGATAATAACTAGGTTGATTCCATAACTTGGAAATTGTGGATACTGCCAAAGGTATGCTAGTATCTCTCTAATATGTAAATTTGATTCCCTCATGTGTCACTTAATTAAAATTCATTATTTCCATATATCATTGAATTACAAATTTTAAAGTTCCCATGAACATAATTCAATTCATGGGCATATATTTTAACATTAGTCATTACTCAGGCTCACAATTTTTTCAAAGAGGATAGTTAAGTAAAATTTTATAATTAAACTAAAACTATTTTATTGGGGTTCTTATATAGATCATAGTTACCATAATATCAAGATTATTGTCTTCTTTAAAATTAGACAGTGTAAAAAATATAATGTGTCTGTATATTTAATTTTAAGGTTCTAAAGTTTAATTCTAAGTTCTCTAACATTTCCCTTAATTTTTATACAACATTGTCCAGTATTAAATGTAAAGTCCAAACAAGGAAAATATTGTCTCATTTATCACTTTAAATACATCTCATATAAGATCATCCAAAACTCAAACTCAGAATTCCTCTTTAAGGAATGAATTTTTCAACTAGTTTTTCAAATTTAATTTTAAACATTTACTACCTTAAGATAACTTTTTATGCTTATAGTCAAACAATAATATTTATTAAGCACATACTGATTTGTAGTATGAAAAGATAAAATAATGCATTCCCAACTGAGTGGCAAAGCATATAATTAGGAGGAACGCAAAGTATAAAATCCAAAGAGTACTGCTGAAGTATAATTATCTAAAACCTTAATGGTATAGCATGGATGTAGAAGCAAGGATGACAGAAAAAGAAGGGCAGGATATGCCTTTCTCCCCCTTTGGAGCAGAAATTCATATAGAAATAGCAGAAAGACAATCACACAAGCTTTTCGGAAAATGTTACACAAGGGTGAAAGGGGAAAAAAGGATTTAAGTAATTTATTTGTGCTCAGTACAATTGAAGGACTATGGTCTCACCACCAGTATTAAGTCTACATACATATTGCACAGTAAGATTGGGGTTTGGTGGTATGGAAAAGGGGACTTTTGGAGTGATAAATTCCATTACCAGGTCAGCTCTTCTGCTCAAAGTGGTAGATACCAGCAGATTGAAGCTTCCTGGATCCTAGGAGTCCACAGTAGTTATCCATGAAGTCATGTCCAGAGCTTTTCAGTTCACTGGATTCTCTTGGGTCATTCATTCTCCACTTAGAGCTACATAGTTTCTTCTAAGGACTGCTTTCAATGTGTCCAAGAGGTTTTGTAGTACTCTGTTTTCATTTCATTATTTTTAGTAATTATTTTTTGTTTCTTTCTAAACTTATTCTTAGAACCTCTCATCATTCTGTAATCACTTGTTTAATTTCTTTACTTATTAGAGATCCCTTTACTAAAAATCTGAAGTTTTATTGCATTGTGGTCAGGTAGGATAAAAGGAGTGATTTCAGTCATTTTGGATTTGCTAAGATTAGTTTTGTACCAGAGGACTTTGTCTACATAAGAAAGCCTCCATCTTACATGTGCTGATAAGTAGAACATTCATTGTTTTGTTTTATTTAGAGTATTCTAAAGACATATGTTAACTCCATTTGATGTATATCAATCTTTCTCATGTTTTTCTTTTTAATATTTGTTCAGATGATTTTAGAAAATGAAGTATTGTAGTTACCTACCAGTACTTGATTGATGTTAAACTGCATTTTTAAATGCAATAGTACAATTTTTTCATTAAATTGGATACAGTGGAATTTGATACATGTACATTTAAGATACTAATGCCTTGTTTTTTTACTGTTCCCTTGATCAGAACGAACTGTCCCTCTTTATCTCTTCTAATCAGTTTCACTATGAAATCTATTTTGTTAGATGTATATATTATGTGCCTTAGTGATTAACTCTGAAATACCAATAATACACAGTGTCACATTAAGGAAAGAAATACAAGCACTTCCTCTGGAGTCCTTTGACCAAGAATGAATCCAGATTTGAATGTGTCATCATGCTCCCTGTGTTTTCAGTCCTCTGTCTGTTGTATGAGTCTGAATCTGAGCCTGTCTGAAGGTTGTCTTGTGATTTTGTGCAGGACTGTCATTTGTGTGTTTCTATCTCTGACTATCTCTTTTAGTTCTGATGTGTTTGGTGAGTGTGTGTGTGTGTCCTGTGACTGTGTGCGAATGATGGGTATCTCTGTGTATATGACTGTGAGTGCATCTGGGTGTCTGTCCTTAATAAAATGGCTCCACAATATTTTTATTGAACAGCAAAGAAAGCATCACATGTGAGAAGGAATAGAAAACTTTACAGAAATCTTAGCCAAGTTGTACAAGGGATTAAGAGACTGACTCAAACAGATTCCAATTGATCCACATAACAAACGACATTGTTTATCAGCCAGTAGTTGTTTTCAACCTTTATGCCAGATTTTACTAAGTTAATTTCAACCTTTGTATTTGCTACTTTCAGCAAATGAAACATACATTGTCTAGGTCAGAGGCATGGAAGCATATGCAATTTAAGATTGTGGCTATATGTTAGCTTAAGTTGTAAAAGTTGATTACACGGCGAATCTAGAGTAGCAGCAGTCTTAAGTGACCTCAAGGTGGATACTCACTTTGGCTATAATGTCCAGCTAAAGTTCCAGTCTCGTAGAATGCCAGGTATTTTCAGAATGTTGCACTCACAAAGTCAGGTATTAAGACAAAAACACAAAATACTGCTAAACTTTAAAAGGTTCACAAGGTTCAAAATGTTTATTTTGATTTGGTTTGTGTGCCTAGACACTTGGGAGGAAAAAGACATAGCACCAATCTGGTGTGCTGGGAAAAAGACAATATCCAGAATAGAGGTACCATCATATCTTTACATAGTTGTTCAGCTTGAAAGATGCCTATGGGAATGGATTCATAATTGAGTAGAATTAATGCAGAGGAGAAATCTCTATTAGCTTTCTGGGAAGTATTAGTTTCTCCATGCAACTAGTGACCACCCAGTGTCCCCTGTTTCATCAGAAGCCTCCTTAAGGTATTTTTCACTTCTGAATTCCTCAAGGTGTAGATCAAAGGATTTAACATTGGTTCAATAACAGTAGAGGATACAGCCATTATCTTATCTACAGGGTAAGTGACCACAGGCCTAACATACAAGAAAATACAAGGCACGAAGAACAACACAACCACTGTGAAGTGGGAGGTACATGTGGAGAGGGCTTTTCACCTTCCTTCAGAGCTACAGGACTTTAGGGAGCAGAGAATGATCACATAGGAAGAAGTTAGAATGAGGAAAATGGCCGTACACATTACTCCACTGTTAAGAATAACTAAGAGACCTAGAATGTAGGTGTCCATGCAGGCCAGTTTCAACAGTGGAAATAAATCACACATAAAGTGATCTATGATATTGGGGCCACAGAAGGGTATTTGATACATAAAGAGAACCTGAATGATTGCATGTGCAAATCCACCTATCCAAGTCCCTCCCACCATCAGGCAGCATACTCTAGGACTCATGATGGTCATATAATGCAGAGGCTTACAGATGGCCACATATCGATCATAGGCCATCACAATGAGAAGGATTATCACCACACCACCAAAGAAGTGATCCACAAAAAGCTGTGTCATGCAGCCTGACACTGAGATGGAAATGATCTCAGAGAAAGAGTCCACAATCAACTTGGGAGTAATGATAGAAGAGTAAGTTACCTCCATGAAGGATAGGGATTTAAGGAAGAAATACATGGGTGAATTCAGACCAGGGCTTCTGGTTATCGTTACCACAATCAGGATGTTTCCTAACATTGTAGCCAAATACATGACTAGGAACAAAACTGAGATATTTTCCTTAGCTCTGGATTCTTTGTGATTCCCAAAAGAATGAATTCAGTCACATTGTTCAGCTTCTCCATTTGAGGGGATGATAAAAATGTGGAACTCTGTACCAAAGACTCTGCAAGAGATGTTTTTATCAGTATCCTTGGGTTTTGGGGCAGTTAGGGCACACTTTTGAATACCTTCCTTATCAATTCTTTCTCCATCTTGTGCTATAAAACTTAGATACTCACAAGGAGAGTCTGATGACAGCTTCACCTCTACTGGTCTCAGAACATCCTAATTTTACACTGATGCAGCTCATGATTTCTGTCACACTGTTTTCTGCTTGGACTTGAACCCTGCTTCATCACTTCACTGTACACATATTTCTAGAAAAATTAGGAGGTTAATACTCTAGAACAAGCCTTGACCAACTAACTATACCCAGCTTAATGCAGTCTGGTTAGTTTTGTCACTCCATTCCCACTCTCTTTATGTCTTCATTTTGTGTATTGTTTTTCTTTTTGTTTTACAAACAAGAAGAAAAATTTACTTAACATGCAAGACCTATTTAGTGTCTGCATTTTGGAAACTTGAAGTTAGGATGCTGAATTTAATTTATCATTAAATAATCAAAAAACTTGGAAAACACACAAAAACTTTCATTTGTTCACTTTCTGTTATTATCGTCTTCTTAGACTATCCTAGCTGAAGAACCATTTGCAAAAACACTTCACTTTGCAATGACTACACTCTTTAAATTGTATGTCTTCTAAAATTGAATCATAAATATTACTAATGTACATTGCTGATATTCATTGAGTCCCTACTAAGTTTCATTAACAGGAATGTCTACAAAGTCATTCCTTCACTTTGGAGTTTAGCATGTAAGTTTAAAGAAGCCAAATAAGACCTAAATTTCACATATACAATAAACGCTGAAACTAAATTCAAATTCAGGTCTTGCTACTTCTAAAACTCATACTAATAAAATGTGTATTGTTGCACTTATGTTAATATCGAGTAGCCAAAATCAATGAACTATTGTGCTTCATTATATTATTTCCCTTTCATAATGATCTAGCAATATAGATTCATGTTTTCAGCTAATAGATGAATAGAAAAGCTCAGTAACTGTGTAGCAAATTCCAAAATATAATTCTGTACATATAATTATTAACTGAGTTGGTGTGTGAACTAGTTATTTTCTAGATATTTTTTAAGAAGATAAATCCAGGACCTAGCACAATTTAATAACATCATCCTATAATGAGCCAATATAATTTGGATGATATTAGTACTATATTATCAAAGATATTATAACTCTATTAATACTCCTCCATCATAACTCACTTCTTTATCACCTTGTGGAGTGATATTTTCAGATAAAGGAAAGAATAAAGGTAAAAATTAATGGTAAGAATAAAATCAAGATTATTCTAAATGATACTCAGTGTATCAATTAAAAATCTCTTTACTTTGCATATAATTATATTCTATTAGTGCTAAAATTGATTTATAAATCATCAGATTCATGATTTATATTACTTGAAATAACTATTACTAGATATCCCATCTTGAGAATAAGGGAATTAAACTTTAGAAGCCTAAGCATGTCATCAGAGATGTATGGGAATTATGAATCAGGATGTCTTGGTTTGAAGTGAGATCTCTTCATCATTACTAAACTTTCAAAGGAGAGCACTGAGGTCTCTGCTCTCTGTAAAAATTATTGCCAGAGATCAGCAGAATAAAAGGAGTTACTTGGGCCGGGTGTTTGTGGTGCAAGCCTTTAATCTCAGTACTCAGGAGGCAGAGGCATGTGGATCTCTCTGAGTTCAAGACCAGCCTGGTCTAAAAGAGCTAGTTCCAGGACAGCCTCCAAAGCCAGAGAGAAACCCTGTCTTGAAAACCAAAAGAAAAAAAAAAGAGTTACTTGGTAAGTAGCAACTTTTTCTAATATGCACACATTATAAAGCATTTGCTATTTGACTTAAATGTATGAGAGAGCATTGCTCTAAAATCTCTGTATTGCTAAGTGATGTAGATAGCTTGAGAAAATTCTTTGTAAACATACAATATAGACTAATCCCAATCTTCCATATTTTTCTTCTAAGAATTTCAAAAGTTTCTTGATGATATTATTTTTTTCTTATTTTGTTTAAAAATTTTTGAAATTAAAATATAACTACATTATTTTACCCCTTTCCTTTCCTTCTTAACTCTCCCATTTAGCTCCTTTGCTCTCCTTTAAATTAAGTCTCCTTTTCCTTAATTGTTGTTACACACACACACACACACACACACACACACACACACACACGTAAATACAATCTGCGCAGTCCATATAAGGTTTCTTGTATGAATGTGACTTCAGTACTGACAACTTGGTATTGGTTATCATTGTGAAGTGGGGGGAGCACGTTCTTATAAATTAGAATTTTATTGTATTTTTAACTCTGACTCCTAAGACACGTTGCTTGTTTGATTTCTCTCTGGGTCTCAGAATGTTAGTCATAAATCGTTAAAGAGCTAGGAGTTAGAGGACTGAGCTCAGCTTTAATTTCCCTGAGGTTTCCACTTAGTGCTTCCAAGTAGAGTTACTGTACTCACAACACCTAACATATTTAAAGAAAAATCCAATCACATGTGAGAATATTCATAACACTGTCTTTTTTGGAAAAGAAAAAAATAATCAATGAATTTACCACAGTTCTCTTTTCATTATTACACACCTTTCTAGTCTGACATAATCAATTATTTCCTACAAACATTTCTTTTCCATTTTGGTGTTCTCTCTTTCACTTTGAAATCTAACATATCTCTTTCCCCAGGAACAAACAACTCAGTTCATTTATGCCCCTATTAGAGGAAGCAGACTTAGTTTTCTGTTGTAATGAGACCAATTACTGATAACTGAACTTTCAGTCTTACAGAAACAAAGCTGTATAATTCTATCCCAAGCCTGGATGTCAGGGAGAGATGAAAAACAGGTGTTAAATGTCTTCATGATGTTACTATTTATTTTTACAAACACTGTCAGAATAGTTGGGCATGGTGGTACACAAAGGTATTCACTGCTCTGGGGAACCTGAAGTAGGAGGTTTGCAAGTTTGTAGCCAGCTTGGCTCACAGAATAATTTGGAGGCAAGCTTGAGACACAGAGTGAGTCCTTATCTTTAAAAGCAAACCAAGAAACAACCAAAGAACAACATATATGAGGTAAGAACTATTGTTATCTTAATGTCATACACAATAATAAAAGGTTTGGAAAACTTGTAAAACTGATGGAAATCCTTTGAGTGGATACATGATCAACTTAATAACCATAGGAACAAAATACCCTTCACCATGACTCTTAGACCTGTGTGTCTTAACTTATAAAACTTTCATTATTATAAATAAAATTACAGGTTGGTGAATTTTGGCCAGCGCAACTCATTATCCGTCATGATTATTTCTTCACTGTGAGCTTCCTATCTCCTGCTGCCTCTGCTCATACCACTACAAGTCAACTACTAGTCCGTCCTCATCCTCTCTTGCATGCTATCTTCTTCATCATTGCCATCCATGCATTTGTTACATGAAATTGCACAATAATGTTATTTGGTCTTTTTTTTTTTTTTTTTTGCTAATTTCATGTAGGGTTATCTTCTAATGAAGCTGCTAGCTGCTAAGGATGACTCATTTATTATCTTTCCGTCACTTTCAATTCTGTAATATTTGTACACTAATTACTTAATTACACTCAATTTCTTCTTTAAAACTGATACCATTCATGGAAACTGCCTTGACCCATGAGGTCTCAGCAAGTCTGGTGCAAGATTTGACTCCAAACCTGAAAGTGCTATCATCAGGGTCTACCCGTTAACCTACTTGTATTCTGCTTTAAATACACCTTTTAACATTTTATCTCTATTTTTTCAGTTAATACACTTGATGTGGCCATACTTTGGAGCTGAATCATATCTTTGTCTATCACTTCTGTGCTGAGCTACAGCCATCAGATTTCTATTATTTAATAATTTTGAATAACGTGCTAAAGCACACTAAAGAAAACCAAGCTAGAAATTGTTGGCTCAAAACTCTTCACTCTGATATCAATATGTCCACAAATAAAAAAAGATGATTTATTTACATATTAAAATACAATTGGGAATTTGTTGGGCAGGTTAATTATTGCAATAATTTCAAATAACATCTCAGATTAATAGTAACATGAATAAAACTCTGGTAAATGTTAATATGTCCTCAGTTTCATGTATGCTACCTCTGTGACCTCAAAAACCAGTTACCTGATAATCCCAGTGGGCAAATATAAAGACTGTAAATATTGAACAGGTATGTTGTCTAAGCTGACATCAAGATGACCAAAAATCCATCCCTGGTAGTGATGTTCTCAGTTGGAATGAGTCTTTCTAGTGATGTGTTATAAATCAAAACAGGCACAAACAACCAATAATTCATGGGGAAGTTATCTTGATAGGAATAGAGTTCCTAAGGAATTCAGGAGTAAGATTACACACAGATACACTATAGGTCCAGGGAGTTAAATAGGAAAACACCTTCAATTTCCATTAAATAGGAACAATTCCATAAAACAACAGTCATCAAGGCTTGTTGATAAACCATCCATGGCACTCTGACAACCATTTGACTGTATTTTGAGCTTAACTTTGTACACAGCCTTAAAACAGTATTTTAGAAGGAGCACATTTACCATACCATCTCTTGGGTAGTGCACTCAGGGGAAAGAGGTCAGAGTGTGATGTGGGGATGGCAGAGATTTCCAAGATGAGCATGATTGCATCATTCCAATTGTCTCCACTGACTCAGGCTTTAATCGTGTTATCATAAATTCTCTCTACCCCACTGTGATCAGGGTTTTCCCATGGGTAAAAGAACAGTGGATGAAGGCCCAGCTGGTATTGTATGAGCAAAACTAAGCAAACAAACACAATAAAAAGATCATAGGATGACCATTCAGTTGCTATTTCCAAACACAAATTGCTTTTCAGGAACTGAATGGCCTCCCAGTGATGCATCTGCCTAAAATCAGATGAGCAAAAACAAATGCTACTTATGATGCTCATTT